ATCATTTACATTTGAATGGTTAAGTATCTAACATTAACTATTTGGGGAGTAAAAATAGCTCAAGCTCCAGAAGTTGAGAGCAAATTAACTGCATTTGGAAATAAAAGGCTTTCCAACTTGAATCACTTTGAGGAGAGGGCGGGTGTCAGATCAAAAGCCTTCAGGTAAAGCTGCAGTCCTCTCTTTGCTTACCTGGAAGCAATCCTTAATGAACTACGTGGGAATTATCCCTGAAAATACAGTTATAAGGTTGTGATCTCAGTCACCATTTAATCCTGTTTCATATGCCCACTACTTTTCCTTGCAAAACAAGTTTGTAAATAAATAATTTTAAAAGCTGTAGAGTAAGTGGACCCCCTTTCACTTCTGAAGAGAAAGACAAGCAGAGAAAAGTTTAGTTTTTAGGATGGTGCATTATGTGCTGTCAAGTTGATTCAAGCTTATGGTGACCCTAAGTAGAATTTCAAGATATGCAAAGTGTTATAGGAATAGTACAATCTTCTCCCCATGAGTTCTCATGGCTGAGCAAGGACTTGAACCCAGATCTCCTGAATACCAGTACAACATTATCTATCACACTACACTGGCTTACATCACATGCTGGGTATGGTGAAAGAAAACCATGTTAGACTACTTGGGGAGGGGGGGGGAATGAGGCCTGGGTAGTGATGGACCCATTACATCTGAAACTAGGTAGAATGAAAGGAGGAGAGACGTTCAATGGAAAAGAAAGTGCCAAAGCCATCCTTAACTGGCAACTCTTCTTCAGATGCATTAAACCACAATGCCTACCTTCCTGGTCAACATGTTTTTTTTGACAATGGTAAGAATTGTAGCTTGATGCGCCTGAATGGTGCCAAGTTGACACAGCAATACAATAAAAAGTGTTCTGATTGGTTCCTGTGAATTTTTTTCCTTGTTTTTCCTCCTCTCAGAAGTTTGGTAAACGGAACCTTTCCTGAAATAAAAGAAAGAATGTTTTCACATCTTCCTTCCCTGCATTTGTTGTAAGTATTCTACAGTTTTAATTAAAATAGATAATTAAAGCTCATCACTGGATAGATACATCATCTTAGATGATGGCTCACGACCAGTGTGGGATGGGTGTACCTCAGCCCAAAACACTGAGGTGAGACCTAGTTGATTGCCTTTGGTGACCATACCAAGATGGTGGTTACTGACCTTTTCTTTATTCAGTCACCTCATGTAGTACCATTCTCTAGAACTGGTTTCACTTGGCCCTGCTCTACTCAGGCTCAAAGTATCTCCCATCCAAATTGGTAAATGGATGTTCCTATTAATTTTTTTCTGCTCTTATTAAATGATTGCTATATTTTGTTATTGATCTCCTTAAAGATTGGTTTTACTCAGCTCTCTTTGCCTTCATGATTGAAATTCCTTTATTACGATAGAAAAATCAGATAGGCCATGAAACATAAATTAGACGAGGCGAGTCTGAGTCAGCAAAACTGGCATGGCCATGCTAAGTATATGTCTGACACTGATGTAGAACCATAGCAATCCACCTACAGTATCTATCAATTAGAGACCAACAATCCATCATTTTCCCCAACACTCAAATACTTTCTAATGTTATCAAGAAATAGACTCTAGAATCTGGGATAGGGAGTATGTGGACAAAAAGAGTCAGGCTGATCCTTAACAGACAGGACCAGCAATAGCCTGGAGCAGATCTTGTTCCCATTCTAAAGATATTCTTGAACATACCCTTTTACTTCCTCCCAAATAAAAGTTCATTCTGCTTTTGGGGATAATGTTACAGTTGGCCATGCCTCCAAAAGTTATTTGCCATGCAGGGTTGGGAATTCTGGAAGTCAAAAAAGTTACTTTCTCAAGATCTGTTTAAGAGGAAGGAAAGTGTCATTTAGTTGAGTTTAGGCAAATCCGGATTAATAAGAACATCTCATTGATGGATTGTTAATAAATGGATTAAGCTATCTCAAGGAATGGCTGGAAGAACTATCAGCCCCACCTTCTAGCTGTCACTTTTGTCACTGAGCAACTTGGTGGAGCATAGAACAATTGAAGTTGCACTGTTAGAAATTTTAGACCAGGCTGCTCTTGTATATTGAAATATGCATACCTCTTATATTGCTTAGGGCAGGGATGGCGAACCTATGGCATGCATGCCAAAAGTGGCATGCAGAGACATCTCCATTGGCTCGCAAGCAGAGTACTACCCCAACCCCAACCCCCGCTTTCTGACAAGTCATGCTATCTGTATAACTCTTTTCCAACACTACATTTCAAATAAGTGAAATGTGTGTATACAATTTATGTAGTGTATAAAATGTGTATTAAAAGTCTGCACTCCTATATATAGCTGCTTTTTTGAGGGTGGTTTACTTTGGAGGAAACAAGTTCAGAATTTCAATGTACTTAATAAGCTTTATAAATGTTGTTGTTGTTTAGTCGTTAAGTCCTGTCCGACTCTGTGTGACCCAATGGACCAGAGCACACCAGGCCCTCCTGTCTTCCACTGCCTTCCAAGTTGGGTCAAATTCATGTTGGTAGCTTCGATGACACTGTCCATCCATCTCGTCCTCTGGCATCTCCTTCTCCTCTTGCTTTCACACTTTCCCAACTTCAGGGTCTTTTCCAGGGAGTCCTCTCTTCTCATGAGATGGCCAAAGGATTGGAGCCTCAGCTACAGGATCTATCCTTCCAGTGAGCACTCCGGGTTGATTTCCCTCAAAATGGATAGGCTTGTTCTCTTTACAGTCCAGGGGACTCTCAAGTGTCTCCTCCAGCTCCACAATTCAAAAGAATCAATTCTTCGGCAGTCAGCCTTCTTGATGGTCCAGATCTCATTTCCATACATCGCTACTGGAAAAGCCATAGCCTTGACTATGAGGACCTTTGTTGGCAAGGTGAGGTCTCTGCTTTTTAAGATGCTGTCTAGGTTTGTCATCACTTTACTCCCAAGAAGCAGGTGTCTTTTAATTTTGTGGCTGCTGTCACCATCTGCAGTGATCATGGAGCCCAAGAAAATAAAATCT